GTAGCGGACCCTGCACCCACAGAACCCTGCACATATGGGACCCCACATGCATATTGGGTCCCCCCTTGCACCCTGACTCCACAAGCACAGGATATCCCTCATGTGCACAGAATCTTACAAGCACACCAAACCTCACACATGCTGTCCACTCACCAGGACTATGTACCACACTCCTCCCATACATATAGGGACCCACCCCACACATAAACAGGACCTCATGACTGCTCATACACCAATTCTGAAAGCTTAGGGAACCTCCCCTCACATGCACTTGGCCCTACATGTGCAACAAAAAGAATCCCTCCTGTACTGGGGGCCCTCTAAGTCCCAACCTCCTACAAGGAATGGGGACCTTATGCACACCGAGGGTATACATACCACCTCTAGCTTGCACACAGGAGGCCCAGTTCTCCCTCAGACCCTCCTCTAGGGTCCTCCCCCACTTCAGCCCAGCCCCATCTGTCCTACCATTCCCGACCCAAGGGCTCATTCCCTGACATCCAGCCTGAGTCCTTTCTGCCTGCCAGCCTTCAGTCACCCCTGCTTTTTGTCTTCTAGTGACCATCCTGTTTTCAGGGTCACCCCCAGTTTCTCCATTTCCTTTCCCACCCAGCAGCATCCCACTGGTGTGCTGGAACTCCTGTGGGGTCAGACCAGCTCTGGGCAGTGGCACTGTGTGAGTCCCTTGTGTGTGAGGGGAGCTTGGTGAACTCCCAGGCAAGGAGCCTCCCTGGGGAATGAGCTGTGGGGTGAGCCTGGTAGGCCCAACCGTAGCGTCGGTGGGAGCCAAGATAAGAGAGGGTCTAAGGGTAGGGAGGCGAGGGTGTGAGGGGTGCCAGGTCTGTGTGGAGGGGTCCTCAGATGAGTTCATTAGGCAGCCAAGTGGTTTGGACCAGGGAGATGGGTGCTGGCCACTAAATCCCAGGGTCCCAGCAGGATGGACCAAGCCAGAGGTGGTCAGGCACGTGAGAGTGGACGGGATGTGCTCCTGCCACACATCCTGCTCAAGCTACTGGGAATATACATCCGTAAGCGGTGGGCAGGGAAGTGTGGTAGAATGTCCATGTTTCTGCTGCCTGCCCACCCAGACCCATGTGGGGTGTGATGCTGTTCCCCACTACTCCCATCTTCTGCACCTCTAATCACACCCTCCCTGGGTCTTTTCTTCCCATTCCCAGGAGAATGAACAGTAAGAAAGGGGGGGCCAAAGCTGCATCAGGGAAGTGGCAGACCTCACCCCCTTGGCCCAAGCCAAGAGCTGCTGTTGGTGAGTACACCCTTTGACCCCAGGGCACTGCCACTCAAACACTGACCTGTGACCCTCTGCAGCCATGAGACCCCCTCTAAGAAGGCCCTTCCCTCCGAGAGTGGTATCCAGGGATCTCTGAATGGGGCTGGGATGGATATGCTCACGTTCAGAGCCCAGATACCACCCCAACCCCTGGCCTTGAGCCTTGCACCTTTGGGGCTGTGGTCAGGGCTGGGTACAGCTTTAGAATCCATGCCGATGGGAAGGGGCACACATGGGTGAGAGGGCCCCCAATGTTGAAAACAGTTTTGAGCCGGGCCTGGTGGCTCAACACCTGTAATTCCAGCTACTGGGGAGGCTGAGGCAGGAGGATCACAAATTTAAGGTCAGGCTCAGCAACTTAGTGAGACCCTGTCTCAAACAAACAAAAGGTTGGGGATATTGCTCAAAGGCAGGATGCTCCTGGGTTCAATCCTCAACACCACTGCAACAAAGCAGCCAGCTTTGAGAAAGGTCTTGGCTCCAAGTTGGGAATTCTTAGGCTAAGTTCAATAATTGGTCACTTCTCTTCTGTGGCTGGAAAGGGACAGCTCACCTGGGCTAGCTCCTGCTGAGCATCAAGAAAGGGACCTCCCCGTGCCCACCCTACTTCAGCAGTTATCCCCCTGCTCTAAGTGCCGTTCACTCTCTGTCACTACTGCTAATACCTCCCAGGTGGCATCGCTTGGCCCTCTGCTCCCAGGCCTGCCTGGGGTCTGTGCTTGCTGAGAGAGCACGGACCCACCCCACATGGGGCTCTACAGCTTGAGCTGGGCCCAGCCCAGAGAACTCCATTGCCCAGGATCTGGAGGGGTGGTGGTGACTCCTCCAACCCAAGCCAGGTTTAGATCCTAGTTACCTAAAATAGCCCCAGCTGCGTCTGAGGCGGACACTCCTCCTGGAATGAGGATAATGGGCCCAGGGACCGCGTGCTGCCTCTGTGATCTCAGGCCCTGGTACTGCAATGCAGTAAACAGGGGGCCGGACAGGCCGACCTGAAGCTGTCTAGGAAACAGGGGCTGGGGGTAGGGGAGCATGCTCCTTGCTCTGCTGCCTGGAGAGCAAGCCCACCTAGGCTGTGTATGCCTCAGCCTGCCCACTGCCCAGGCTCCCTGACCTAGGATGTCTGGGTTCTCTGCAGGGACAGCTTTGTCGCTGAACAAGTGCCCTCCCTTGGCAGCTTCTGCCCACTAAGCACTGGGAAACCTAGGTGGACTGCATCCTTGGTCTTGGCAAGGCCCTGTGCAGCCCTGCCAGCTTCCTTTGGCAAATATGAACACAGCCCACAGAGCTCCTCAGCCAACCTGGCCTCTGGGCCCTCACAGATCTGTCAGATGCAGTGACCACCATGCCCATAGGCTGTCCTGGGCCCCTCCCCACACCCTCTCCAGGCCTTACCTGGCCTTGGGTCTGCAGTGCCTCCAGGCCCTCACTCCGGAGCTGCTCCAGGGCCACGGCCAGCTGCAGCCCCTCCATGTGCACCCAGGCCTGCTCCTCCTGCAGCTGCTGCAGCCACAGCTGCTCCTCCTGCAGCTGCTGCAGCCACAGCTGCTCCTCCTGCCACAGCTGCATCTGCAGCTGGACCTGTCGCCGCCGATCCTCCAGCAGCAGCTGCTCCTGGGCCAGGCACAGCTGGACTTCATGGAGCCTTAGCAGTTCGGGGCCCAGGGCCGGCATGGGGCCCCCTGCTTCATGGCCCTCCATGTGCTCAGGGAGGACCAGCACCAGCTCAGACCCCGCAGCAGTGGCCTGCACTGGCCTCCAGGCTGCCTCTGGCTGCTCTGTCCTGGCTGCCCTGGGGTGTCCCTGAGAAGCCAGCTGTGTGCTGGTCACGTGCCCTGTAGAGGCCACCCTGGCCTGGTCCCAAGGGCCCCCTGTAGCGGGGGGCGGGGGCTCAGCCCCGGGGCCCTGCTGTTTGGTGGCCTGTGGGGCCCTGCCTGCCTTCCTGCCTCGGGGCTTGCGAGCTCGACCTCGCTTCCCAGACATGGCCCTGGATCCGGGGCCCCTTCCCCAGGTGTCTGCTCCCCAGGGAGGGCCTGCTCATCCACTGGCTGCCTCAGTACGGCAGCTCAGGGGGCATCCAGAGGCCACGGTGGGCTGCTTGCTCCCCCGCCAGGATCAGCCCTGGGCTCCTGCCGTCCCAAGTGCCTTCCCTGCCCCTTGGCCGGCACCGTAGCACCGCAGCTCCTGGCTCTGCCTAGGGCCTCACAGGCCCCACTCAGCAGGGCTGGGCCACGCCAGGAGTTTATAGGGACTCGGCGGCACGGTGGCTCACCCAGGCCGAGGAGCTGACTAACGTGCTGACACAGGGCACAGGACTGACGGGCCACGGGCCTCGTTGGCCAGACTGGGAGGGAGACTGAGAAACTGGAGGCGCCGCAGCAGCTAGACGGCAGTGCGCCGCGGCCTGCCTGGTCCTGCCTGGGCGGCACCCAGGCCCCTCACGCTCCCCCGCCCCACCCCTGGTCACGGGAAACTTAAATTCCAGCCATAGGGCCAGGAGCTGTGTGCTGGCCATACTGACCATCAGGACCCAGTCCCTCCCTGGGTGTAGACCATCCCAGTGGAGTCCCAGCCCACCTGAGCACTTTGTGGGTAGCATGCTCAGTGGAGCCCCTCTGGGGCTTGGGCTCGCCTGGGTTCTGTGGAGGAACAGGGTCCCACTGTCCGAGCGTTGTGGTGTCCAGCGGCCCTGTGGGTTGGGAAGACACCAGTTCTTCAAAGGCCCAGAGAACGTTTTGAGGACTGAGACGGGCAGAAAGGAAGAGCCTGGTCTGCTCTTGTGAGCAGGTGGGACCTAACTGGGAGTCCAGCTCCCCTGCCCATTGAAACAGCCCAGGAGCCGTCACGAGTCCTGCCTTTGGGTTCCCCCCGGTGGCAGTGGGGTCCAGGGCCAGCTCCAACACTGGCCTTTCTGTTGGAAGGTGAGGCCTTAGATGGCCTCCTTAGTGTCTCCCCTGCCAGGAGAGGGGTGCTGCTGACACCCCCCAGGCCCCACCCCAACCAGCCTGCCACACTGGCTGGACTGGTTTGCCTGGCCCATCCCTGCACCACACTCCTCCTGCTCAGCCCTGCCCAGAAGCTCAGACGCAGACAGGAGTTCCTGCCTGGAAGCCATGAGTTGGACAGAGATGGGAAGGGCTTGGAAGACAGAGGGACCCTGTTCTGACCACAGGGTGGGGGACAGTATGGGTGCAGGGACCAGCCTGCAGCAAGACTGCAAGAGGGCCGGCAGCATGGTGGTCCTAACCAGGCTGCACCATGCCCACCCAGGACTCACAGGGCCTGGGCTTCCCATCCCAAGTTCAGGGCAGCTCTGCCTGCTGGCCCTGAGGGTGACCCAAGTCAGGTAGGCTCTGCAGTTGGAGGATGCTGTGGGGCAGCTCATTAAGGTCTCAGTCATGACATTACCTCCGCTGTGGCTCCCTGCAAGCTGCGACACAGCAGCCCTGCAGGTGTCCCATAAATGCCAGTACCATAAATATCTCCTGAGGTTGATGGGTGTGGGGGACATTTCAAACCCAGACCACCCTGACTGCAGCTCTCCCCAGGGAGACGGGGAGAGAACCGCCAGTCGCAGAGGAAGACAGGCCGAGAGCTGAGGGGGCCCACACCCCAGGAGACCCTTGAGGCCCCTGCAGGTGAGTGCCTGCCCCCCCCATCCGCGTCCTCAGGGGGCAGGCAGGAAGGGGGCTTCCCTGGGCAGGCAGGCATGGTATGTGCCAATGCGCAAGTGCGCATGTGCGCATGTGCCGGTATTGGCGAGGACTTGTGTTTACAGGTGTTTACAGGTTGGGGCGCAGGTCCGCAGCGCGTGCAGCACCGCCAGCCCCTCCTGTTCCTCCTGCCTGTGCCTTTGGTACGAGGGAGCCTGCGATGGGCCTGAGTGGGGGTCACCTGATCTGCGTGTGTCGCCGGCAGGACAGGGTGCTCCCCTCTGGGCCGCGCGTTCTCCCAGGGCTCCTGTCCTGGGCCTGCTCACCCCGCCCCTCTTCTCTGGCTCACCTTCAGCTCAGACTTCTGCCCTGGCGCCCCAACCCTGCATTCAGCTGCCGCCAAGCCCCCTCCTGGGTGTCCTGAAGCTCACCAGTGCATCAAAAACAACTTCTCCACCCCTGGTCCCAGATGGGTCCCCGAGGATCGCGCCCGCCATCAGGGGGCTCCCTGCGTGCCCTGTTCTCCCTCCCTGGGCTCCCAGCTGCTCTCCTGGGGCACTGCCTCCCACTTTGCTTCTTTTAGTAGAATCCTCAGAGGAGAGGAAGCAAGTGGCTCTCCCATCCCATAAAGGCACCCCTACATATCATCCCTGAAAAAGGCCCCGGGGCCAGAGAAGGTCTGTGAGGACTGATGCTGTTTTATGATAATTGCATATGCCTGACGACTGACCCCTGTGGACAGTGCGTGGTGGACACAGATGAGCTGGGAGAATGCCCTGAGCTGGAGATGGTGCTTGAAGGCAGGCAGAGTGCTAGGTAGCAGGGTGCAGGCCAGGCTGGCCCCAGGGCAGTGTGCTCAGCAGGGCCAGCACCGCAGCTGTCCATGCTGCGGTCACCAGCTGTTTCCACGTCCCAGTGAGAAAGCCACTGTCAGGCCTGTTCTTGGGGTCGGGGAGGGAGGCTTGGATGTCCCCATTCTGCTCTCTGTCCTGGGAAGTGGGCCCTATGGGGCTGACCCCAGCCTGCACGAAGGCCAGCTGCCCTGCAGGGCATGAACCAGGACACCACCTATAAACCCAGCTCGCTGGCCGGCTCTTGTTGCTGGATCGTGGGTCCCAGCTCAGAGAAGTGCTGTTGGGGAGCTGGGGCTGTGTGTGTCTGAGGAACCTGCAAGTACGTCCAGCAAGGTGTCCAGTTTGGCTGGAGGGAGGCTGCTCCTTCACAGTGGAAGGCACTGCCTGGAGCTGCCCCATCTCTGGTGCAGGCTTGGTCCGCACTGAAGTTGAGGGCACCTGCAGGCAGCACCCTGTGGAGGTGCCCAGGCTCATGCACTGTGGGAGTGAGTCCTTGTGTCCTTTGCCTCAGGGACTGGTGGCCACCACCACACAGTGAGTTTCCATTCTGGGACTGTCCTAGAGGCTGTGGGAGCATACTCTCCCTGCCCTGTTGCTGCCCCAGGCTTTCCAGCTTTCCGACCCTCTGCTGGACTCTCAGCCAGAGCAGATGACCTGGTGAGGAGACTTCACTCCACGGGACAGTGTCCATCCTGGGCTGGTATTGCTGGGCCACACAGACTCCCTTCTTGTCACTGTAGCCTCTCCCTTAGGGGCCTGCTGGCCAGCATCTGCAAGACAGTTGTGATGTCCACCAGCATGTCCACCACCTGCTGTGGTGGCACTCTGCCTCGGTGGGCCCAGGCCACACCTCCCTCAGACCTCTGCCTCCCTGCTGGCTTGACGTGTCCATCTGCGGGTCCTGATGAGCTAGCTCTGCCTGTGCCGGTGCCCACTCGGTCTTCCTAGCCACAGCAAGTGGGTGGCCGGGGACCCACTGGGTCTGCCCCTCACTGCTGGCCTTGGGGCTGCCGATGGTGGCAGTGCAGCTGGAGTGGTGCTGGTGCAGGGGCTGACTGGGTACCCTGCACAACCCTTTGCTCATCGTCCTCTGCCCCCCGAGGACTGTGGTGGACATGTGTGCGCTGTGCGCTTTGTTCACCCCACCCAGCCTGCCCCTCGCCACCCGTGGCCACAGACACTCTGCTGTGTCCTCGATGCCAGGACCGTGAAGCAGAAAGCCAGCTTGTCGGTGGCCCAGGGGCCTGCGCGGCACCGTCCCTCCCACACCCTCGAAGGCTGCGTCTGAGTGTGAGGTCCCTGCAGGCTGGCGGTCACGCCTCAGCTGGCCTCTGTTTCCCCAGAAGCCCTCCCAGGCCTTTCAGTGTGTGGGCCAGAGCAACGTCTCCTGAAGGGACAGTGTGCCTCCGAGGTCCTGGGAGCCTGCTGAGCCCTGGGCCCTTCTTGCTGAATGGAGGCACTAGGTGCAGTGGTTTATGCCTCACCTTAGGATGTCCAGGCAAACCCAGGGCCAGCAGAGTGTTAAGATGACCCTGTCCCTGTCCTTCTTCCTTGCTGCAGTGATTACTGAGAACCTAGGTCTTACAACAGCACACACTGAGCTGGGCGCCGTGGCCCACCCCTAGGATCCTGTCGGCTCAGGAGGCTGAGGCAGGAGGATCACGAGTTCAAAGCAGCTTCGGCAACTAAGCCAGGCCCTTAGCAACTCAGCGAGACCCTGTCTCTAAATACAATACAGACTAGGGCTGGGTTGTGGCTCAGTGGCCGAGTGCCCCTGGGTTCAATCCCCGGCACCAAAACACCGCCACCACCACACTGAGCACCTCCACTCCTAGGGCTCACAGCCTCCTGGGCTCCAGCAAGGGAGCAGCAGGGCGTACTCTTCCTGGTGAGGCTGAAGCAGAGTCTGTGGTGTGCCCCCTTCCAACTTCTCAACATGCCCTCAGGCTCCAGGCCCCTTTTTCTCGAGAGTCAGCGACTGTGCCAGTCTCATCTCCTTCCTCTGACTCGCCCTTTCCGCCTCCCTCGGCCTCTTCTACCTGCGGTGGCACTGGATCCAGGTGGTGATGGAGGATCCCCCACCACTCTCCTCCTCTCTTTGTTGGTATTCAGGTTGAACACAGGTTCTCAGGCAGGTAAGCATTCTGCCCCTGGGCTACAGCCGCGGCCCTTTTGTTTTTTATGAGGATGCGGGGTCTCACTAAGTTGCAGGCTGTCCTTGAATTTGCAGTCCTCCTGCTTCAGCCTCCTGAGTCTGTGGGAGCAGCTGGCCGGCCACCACTACATCTCCCCATTTTAAGGTCAGCCAGTTGGTGACCTGATTTCATCAGGGACCTTAACTCCCCGTTCCCTGGACTCTCAGAGGTTCCAGGAAACAGAGTGTGGGCGTCTTGGGAAGGGGGCATTGTTCTGCCTACCTGGTCTTTATGAATATACTAAGACAGAGGCTCAGAGAGAAACCCTGGCCTTGGGTAGGAGGGTGAGGGTGCACTGCAGTCTTGGCCATCGAGGGCGACTGGTTTTGCATCTGCCTACCAAGTGCCAGGAACTGTCCACCTGTTGCAGTAAAGAGACCACAGCCAGCGGCAGTGCTCCTGGGTGCCTCGCCTGTTGGGCTTCCTGGAGTGCATCCTCTTCGGTCTTTGTTAATTTGCTTATGCAAAGGCCAGACAAGCGAGTGGAATGGTGATGCTTTGGAGACTGCTCCTGCTTCCCTACCTTCCATGTTGGTATTAATGGATGCAGTTCCTCCAGGAAACAAAATAGTAGCGACCTGGTTTGCTTCGGTGATGGAGGCAGGAAGTTTCATGGACTCCTGCGTGCTCTTCCTTCCATAATGGCCCCTGGCTCCACTGGCCAAGGCGCCAGCATAGGTCTCCCACCAGCAGCTGGATCTGCTTACCCCACACATGGGACAGAATCACCTCCCATCACACTGGATGGGGAGGGCCGGGCCACAGCACCGTCTGGCACTTGGCCTGTATCGTGGAGAAGATGCTGCTGCCATTTGCTTCATCTATTTTTTTTTAGTCCTAACAGATTGTCGGGCAGCATATCTACAGTTTTTTGTTTATAAAATTTATCACCTGCAAAATAATTATATCACCTGCAAGATAATTTTACTCTTCCTTTCCAATTTGGGTGCAATATATTTCTTTTTCCTGCCTAATTGCTCTGGCAGGGACTCCCACTTCTGTGTTAAATAGAATACATGGAAGCGGGCATTCTTTTCCTTCCACTCTTTCACCATTGAGTATGATGTTTGCTGTGGGTTTTTCATAAATGACATTTGTCAGACTGAGGAAATTTCTTTCCATTTCTAGTTTGCTGGGTGGTTTTGTCCTGAAAACGGGTTGAATTTTGTCAAACGCTTTCTCTGCACCAGTTACAGTGATCATGTGTGTTTTTTCCCCTTTCATATTTTAATATGTTAAAACTGATCAGTTTTCATGTATTGAGCCATCCTTGCACTCCAGAAATGAGTCCCACTGGGTCAAGGGGTCTGAGCCCTTCAGGTGCTGTTGAACGCAGCTTGCTGGTGTTTTCTTAGGGCCTCTGCACCAATGCTCCAAGAGGTATCCCTCTAGAATTGGCTTGTGGCATCTGTCTGGCTTTGATATTAGGTAATGAAGGTCTCACAGAATGAATTAGGAAGCATCCCATCCTCTTATTGAAAAAGGTGAGAAGGGTGGGTGTGACTTCTTTAAGTGTATCAGAGAATTCACCTCTGAAGCCGCCCTGTCCAGGGCTGTCCTTTGTTGGAAGATTTTGATGGTGAATCCATCCCTTTACACTTACAGGTCTGTTTGGACTTCCTGTTCCTTCATGACTACTTTTTTTAGCTTTTGTGTTTCTAGAAGTTCTTGCATTTCATCCGGATCGTCCTATGTGTTGTTGTACACTTGTTCTGATGGTCTTTTTTATTCTGTGGAATCAGCAGTACTGTCCCCACTTTCATTTCTTTTTGCGGGGGGCATACTAGGGATTGAACCCAGGGGCACTCACCCACAGAGCCCCATCCCCAGTTTGTACTTGATGTAGAGACAGGGTCTCACTGAATTGCTCACTGCCTCGACGTTGCTGAGGCTGGCTTTGAACTCGCGATCCTCCTGCCTCAGCCTCCCCGGCGCTGGGATGACAGGCTGAGCCACCGTGCCCAGCCCCACTTTCCTTTCTGATCTTAGTAATTTGCATCTTTTCTTTCTTTTTCTTTATTCTCTAGTTAAAGGTTTGTTGATCTTTTTGAAGAACCAAGTTTTGGCTGCATTGACTTTCTTTTTCTGTTCTCCATTTCATTTACCTGTCTCTTTATTTCCTTCTCTATGCTATCCTGGAGTGAGTCTTCCTCGTCTTTCTTCTCTTTTCTTTTTCTTTTTTCCCCTCCACACTGGGAGTTGAACCCAGGGCCTCCTGCCTGCTAGGCAGCTGCCTTGGCTTGCTTCCTCCCTGACTTATCCTCAGTTCTGTTTTAATTTTATTTTGAGACAGGGTCTTGCTAAGGTGCTGAGGCTGGCCTCAGACTTGGGGTCCTCCCGCCTCCCCCAAGTCACTGGATCACAGACACGCACCTCTGTACTCGGCATTAGCCTTCTTTTCCTCGTTCCTTAAGTGAAGTGAGGTGTCCATGGGACGTCCTTGTTTAATGAAACGAGCATTTACAGTCACAGTCTCCCTCTCAGCACCGTTTTTGCTGCATCCCACAGATTTTGGAGGGCTGCATTCTGTTTTAATCCATCTCTGCTTTCGTTTTTTGATACTGGCAATTGAACCCAGGGGCACTTGACCACTGAGCCATATCCCCAGCCCTCTTTATTTTTTATTTTGAGACAGCATCTTGCTAAGTAGCTTAGGGCCTTGCTAAGTTGCTGGGATTGGTCTGGAACTTGTGATCCTCCTGTCTCAGCCTCCAGAGCTTCTGGGATCACAGATGTGTGTCACGATGCCCAACTGCGTCAGGTGTCCCAACGGCCAACCTTAGGTCAGTACATGTTTGCGGCTGGTATACACTCTATTTTGAATCTGTTATTGCTCTAAGTGTTCTTCCTTGTCTCCACATAAACATCACTCTGTCTGATAGGGACAGCGCCGGCCCTTCCCCCTTCGGTTCCTGTTTGCATGGAATAATTTTTCATCTTTTCCTTTCAACCCGTTTGTGTCTTTGGATCTGGAGCGAGCTTTCCTAGATACCACAGACTCCTGTCCCTCTGTCAGTTTCTCTCTTTTGACTGGAGCGTGTTGTAGTCAGTGTTTTCACTGCCACGACCAGACGACCTGATGAGAGCAACGAGAGGAGGACCTCGCGGTTCTGCCCAGGTCTGCCGCCGTCTTGGGCAGTAGCTGGGCCTCCAAGGGCTGTGGTGCAGCCGCCTCTGAGTGCCGAGGCTGAGCCTCTTGTGCCGGCAGAATGCCCCGTGGTCTCTTCTCACGGGAGTTTCTTCTTTCACATTCTTATTGTCTTTGGGTAAAGTACGCGGAATCTGTAATGTCTTTAACAACTACAGTCTCCTTAGTCCCCGTTTTATGACCAAACTGTAAGTCTTTAAAATCCTCCAGCTCTGCCTCCTGCTCCAGATTATCACAGTGAACTTGGCTGAAAGCTGGTTCAGTATTCATTGACTGCCTGAATGCCAGGCGGTCTAGAGTAAGAAGTCCATCATCTGTGAATCCAGCCGCACAGAAAGTCTCAAGACGTGGGCAAAATGTTCTCCACTTTTAGCCAAAGCCTGACACAAACGGCCTCTCTCCCAGTTTCCAGTCGTCCTCCTGCTGCTCTGAACCTCCAGCCCATCTTCACGTCTGCAGTCCCTCTGCCTTCTGGCTTCTAAACTCCCGCTGCAACCGCCATCAAGTCCATACAGCATTCTGAAGCGTTTCCAAAACCCCTCCACACATTCCAGAAAGCTCCAAAGGCTTCTGAAGCTGTGGTCAGGTTCCTCCCAGCAACGACCCCGCTTCTCAGGGACCATTCCTGTTGGAGTCAGCTTTTTTGGTCCATGACACAATCCCTGATGAGGGAGAGAGAGGGAGGGAGAGGGAGAGAGAGAGAGGGAGAGAGAGGGAGAGAGAGAGAGAGAGGGAGAGAGAGAGGGAGGGAGAGAGGGGGAGAGGGGGGAGAGAGGGGGAGAGAGAGATCTTCAAGGACAATAAGTGACCCCAGAAGCACTGCCCCAGGGACCCACCTCCTGTGGCCACGCCCGCGTGCCCACAGTCACCACCCAGTTAACCCCTAGGAAGGGATTAATGCCCTGACCAGGTCAAGGCCTCACAACCCCATCATTTCGCCTCTAAGCTTTCTTGCATTGTCTCACATATGAGCTTTTGGGGGACAGCTCACATCTAAACCATAACAGAGTTTGATCCATTTATACTCTTGGTGTGGTCCTAGGGTCCGAGCCGTGGGCCTCACAGGCAGTAGGCACACTCTCTACATTGCCAGCCATTTTTTTATTTTTTATTTTGAGATAAGGCCTGGCTAATTGCGAGGCTGGCTTTGAACTTGCAGCCCTCCTGCGTCAGCCCACCGAGCTGTTGGGATCACAGATGTGTGCCATGGCACCTGGCTTTCTAGTAATTATTTTAAATGCGTTGGCATCGTGTGGAAAACAAGATGTGGCCCTACAGACCCAGGTCGAGGTACTGCTAGCTGTCCCCACAGTGAGAGGCAGCTGTGATAGAGCACAGCAAGTGTGGGCCGTCCATAGACCACCCACCACTTCAAAAGCCAGGGAGTCTGCCATCTGCACGGAGGGGTGATGCTGCTCCTCTCTGTGTTGTCCTGATTTTAGTATGTCTTCTGCCAAGGTGAGCACTTCATGCCAGCTCTTAGAAATTTTTTAAAAGTGCCGGGCACAGTGGTGCACGCCTGTAATCCCAGCAATTTAGGAGACTGAGGCAGGAGGCTCACAAGTTGGAAGCCAGCCGTGGCAACTTAGAGACCCTGTTAAAATAAAAAAGAAAAGGGGCTGGGGGTGTGGCTCAGTGGTAGAGTACCCCTGGGTTTAATCCCAGTATAAAAAAATTCAAAAAATAGAAATAAATAAAAATTAAAAAAGCATTAGTCTCTCAAATAATGTAAAAAACCAAAAAGCAGAGTCACAAACTGTGTCCCGGAAGACCAGGGTGCATCCCTGCCTGG